TAAAAAAAAATTAAGGGAAAAATCAAGGTTTTGGCTGGTTTTGGTTCCTCTCCTTTCCTTGCCCTCACCTTGTGTCCCAGCCACGTTCCATGGTGCCCCTCAACCGGCAGGCGCTCGGCATCCCCCGTCAGATCCGTCAGGGCATCCTGGAAGAAAGGCATCCTTGCTTCAGGTGAGTCAAATCCGGGTCTGGAATGCATCCAACTCTCTGGAACATTCCCCAGGGCAGCCGCCAGCCATCCCACTTACTTTCGGAGACAGTGTTCCTCGGATGCTGATCACCACCTTCTTCTTGTCATGGTCCACGGCCACGTAGAAAGGGGTTTCATAAACCTGGAAAAGATCAGGAGAGACTGGATTATCCACAGGGAAAAGGAGGTTATTTCTGTCCAAGTGAAGGAATTTTTTGATGGAGCCACACGCCAGTTCTTCTTGGTGCCGCCACAGTGCAAGGCAGGTAAGTCTCATCAGGAAGAGGGCACAGCTGGAATGGGAAAGGGGTCGTGGATGGTCCTTACAGCATCGTGGCAGGAAGTGTAGACAATGTCCACCGAGGTCATGTTCTCATCCAGGAAGTGACGCCGGATGGCGATGGCATTGCACCCACAGCAGTTGTCCTCCTCGATGGTCACACCCGGAGCGTAGCGGGGCCGGGAGGGACACAGGCAGCAACATCTGCTGGGGGAAAGCACAGCTGTGAGGGAAAAAGGCTGGATTTACACTTCCCCTCTGAGCCACGCTGGCCTTCTCCAAATTTAGAGCGAGCACTAAGTGAAGGGTGAAACCACAGAGAGGTACAAAATTCCAGCCTCTAGAAGGACACTGGGATCAGGTGTAGTTTTCCTTCCAAGCACCAGAGAGAGCTCCAGTACAACTAGCTCCCAAGGAATCCAAGGGACAGCTCCTCAAGGGATACTACACAGAAACATGAAGCATTTACTGAGCTCCAGGTTTATTTATAGCGAAAAAGCAGGTCTAGAATCATCCCAGAACAAGAAGAAAGGCACAGATTGACTTTCCCTCTTTCCTTCTCACAAATAAGAGTATTCCCAAGGAATTAAATTCCTCCCAAGAGCCCAGAAGTTGCCAAAAGCTCATCCCCAAGTTGAATCTGGGGACAGAATTGTGGCAAATACTTGAATCCTGAGCCAGAAAATCCAATCAGTAGGAGAGAGCACAGCCCAAATCTTGGAAGTGTTTTAATCAGGATCCAAATTTCAACTCCCTGATTGGTAAGAAATCAGATTTTTGAGCTCCATGAAGTCCTCTGGGGCTCGGTTTTGTGCCAGGTGGGTCCTCTCCACTGGCTGTTCCAACTGGCACTGGAGAGGATGGAACAGAGGATGAGGTGGTTCGTTTACAAGATGGAAGAGATCTGGAAAGACTTTGGAATAGGAGGCACGGAGAGACGGGAAAAGAAAGCATAAGAAGAGAAAAGCAGAGAAGAAACAGAGTGGGGATGGAGAGCAACGACAACATAAATATGGGGAATGGTGATTTCCAAGTCCGGGGGGATAAAGAGGAGGGCCAGAGAGATGAGGGCAGAGCAGGTACTCACGAGCAGGATCTGGCCAGGCGACACAGTCCACACGTGGGCTTCCGCATCAGGTAAATGGGCCACCCGTAGGCAGCCAGCGCGAAGAGCATGTAGTAACACACCTCCCGGTACCGCTGCATCTCTTGCTGGAAGACATGGACACCCGGCAATCTCTTGGAATGTTCCTCCTCATTTCCTGTTTCCATAGTTAGACCTCCTTGCTGAGTAACCCCCTCCTCCCCCAGCTCTGCTCCAGGGGAGCAAGGTGGTGATTTGGGCAGGATTCACCTCTTCTCCTGAGGGATTTCCCTCTGTATCCCACCCTACTACCAAGGAAGCAGCTCCCTGCAGGTTTGGGAATGAGCTCCCTAAATATCCTGCTGCCAACAGGTCATAGGATGCCCAGAGAGGGATAAAGACAGTTTAGGGCCATGTGTCTCAGTTGCGTCCTGGAAAAGGTCAGTTATCCTGGACAGCTGGAGTGGGAGTTAAACAGTGCTGGCATGAGATGGGGAATAGGGCGGGGGGGAAATCAGGGGGGAAATCAGAGAAAAAAAAATCAGAAAAATCAGAGGAAAAATCAGGGGGAAAGATGAAGTGGGAAGAAAAAAATCAGAGAAAAATCCAAGACCTGGAATTTCTCAAATTTTTTCCAAGAGGGGCAGAAAGGAATAAGAGAAGCCACTGAGGAAAGCAGGTTACACAGGAGAGTTCCCAGGATTACACATTCCAGGGGCTTACCGCGTTCTTCAGGTCCAGGTACTTAGTGTTCCTGGTCACTGGCATTCCAGACAGGAAAGCCAGAATGTCATTGTTTGCCTGTAAATCCCAAACACACAGGAAATTTCTCACAAAAGTCTACTCAACCAGGTTCCTCAAATGCTTCCAATGGTTTTATTCCCAAAGTCCAAGTCAAGGGAGAAAAAAAAAAACAAACAAACAAATCAATTTTCTCCTGGGTTGACAATTTGAAAATGTGAATAATGGCTTGGAAATTTAGGAATTTTCCCTCCTGAAGCTTGCTGGAGTCTCCTCCACATCACAGGTAATAATCTTCCCTACAACCCACTTCGAGGCTTTCTTTGGGATTGAGAGCTCAACCCGTATTTGCGGATGACAAACCCCAAACTCTACTCAGCGTCAGCTGGGAAAAACTTGGGAAAAGCTGCTTAAATCAGTTATTATTTTTAATTCCCAGCTGAGCGAGGCGGGCAGAGTCCCATGGTGCTCCCAGGGCAGGCCACATTCCCAGGTGTTCCCATTCCCCACCTCATCCAGGACGGCGTTGCGCTTGGCCCGCTGCCGCTGCCTCAGGAGCACCAGCCCCGCGATGATGTCGGAGGGCACGATGTCCAGATCCCGGAAAAACTCCGCAAAAAGGTAGGCGATCTCGGAATAGGCATCCTGAAAAAGCCAGGGAGAGAGGGGGTCACAGCACTTTGGGAATGGCCTCATTGCTGGAGATCCATGAGATTCCTTCAGGGAATGCCAGACCTGGACTAATTGTGGAATTATTGGCTCCTGTTTACTTTCCATATTCCCACTCGGAGGATGGATTTGTCCTGTGGGAAGAACACTCACGCATCCCAGGCAGGTTCAAAGGGAGGGAAAGGGAATGTTTTGGGATCTATGCATTAAATAAAACAGGGAAAATACAATGAAAAGCAAGTAAAACCCAATCCAGAGTCACCTCAGAGTCATCCTTATCCTCAAAAACACAATCAAAGCTATTCCAGGGGGGAAAAAAAGGACTAATTTTGTCCTGTTTACAGGCTCTTCGATTCTAAATTTGTCCCGGTATACTTTTCTCATATTTAACCCCAATCTGGGAGCCTTTTCCCAAATTTAACCCAGACCTGGGAGCCTTTTGCCTAAATTTAACTTGCCCATATTTAATCCAGGCCCAGAATTCCTTTGGCCCATGTTTAACCCAGATCTGGGGTCCTTTTCCCAAATTTAACCCCCATCTGGGATCCTTTTTTCCCCAACATTTAACCCAGACCCTGTGGTCGAAGTTTAACCCGGCCCTGGGATCCTTCGGCCCCTATTGCCAGGCTTTTCCAGCTTTATTTAGGATGGCACCCAAGCAAAAAGGCCTGAAAGGGAAAACCTGGAAAAAGACCTGAGTCACTAAATGCAGAATTCCCCAGGGGAGAAGGTGATTAATCCCACAAAAGGAGGGACAGAAGTGGAAGTGACCTGAGAGGGTCAAGCAAAGGCTCTGGAGCAGTGGGACCAAAATATTGAGGAGAAACGGTCTTTTTCCACCTTTTTCTCTGTACTATAGGGAAAATAAACCACAAAAGCCCGAGGAAGAACATTTTGGGAAACGGGAGATAGGCTGGAATGTGAGTCAGAGCTGATGTGTCATTATTCCAGCCTAAGGAAAAGGGTGATCCAGAGGCTGGAATGGGGAGTTGTAGCAAACAAATGGTATTTTGACTCCTGTCATGCCAAACCTTTCCTTCCAAGGATTATCAGAGCCTTATCCTGAATTTTTATCCCAGATTTTCAGAGTATCCTTTACACAGCTCCTCAAACCTGCAGTTGTGGAAATCCCAAGCGCTTTCCAGGACAGGATTTCTCCTCTCTTTTCTCGGACCATCAAGGCAGTAAATCCCTTCTTTTCCTGGCAGGAATGACATCCTTGCTCCTGCAGGATTGACCTACATCCCTTTATCCTCACAAAACTCCTGGAGTGTGGGATGACTTCCAATCACTTCCCACTTCCCTACAAAAGGGAGTGAAGTCCCCATTAAGAGATGGGGATCCAGGTGCCAACTGTGCCAGAGGTGCCTTTGGAAAGCCTCACATCAACCTCTCCAACATTCCAGATGCAACATCCCTGAAATCCTGACCTCCCAAATCCCAGAGGCTGCAAATGGCTCCAGCTGGATATAAAGTGGAAATTCAACAGCATGAGGAATGTGAAGAGTCTGGAATCTGCTTTTATCCTGAATTAAAAAAAAAAAAAAAAAAAAAAGGGAGAAACAGTCCCTGTAGGGACCAAAAAAGGGGAGAATCAGTCTCTGCACAATGAAAAGTTTGTTAAAAAGAGCTTGGAATACTTTACAATCCTAAGTAAAGTGGGAGTTGTTCAGGAATCAGAACCTTTGGGTGCCTGTCAGGGCTATCCCAGGTTTTGGTGTTCCTGATGGATTTCCTGAGCAGAGGAGCTGGGACTTCCCAGCAGGATGGGGCTGGGACATTCCCTGGGAACCCAGTGGCATTCCAGCCAGGGAAAGGCATCCTGGGAGAGTGCTGGATTCCTGCACAGGCCTGTGCCAATTCCTGCAGCTTCTGGAAGCTGTGTCCTGTGGATAATTCCTGACAAACCCTGTTAATCCAATTCATCCCAGCTGCCCTCCGGGAGGAATAATAGTGGCCTTCACCCAACTCTCCTTCATTTTTCCACCTTTCTCTGTGGAATTTCAATTCCAGACATGTTTCCCTTCCTCTCCAAACTCCTGTTCCTTACCAGTGTGCTCCTTTTCCTGCTCATCCCTCTGGAAGCAGAGCTCCAGGCTATATTTAGCCAGGCCAGGCTGCTGCGGTCGCTGCCTGGGTGTTTTCCCTGTCATTTTCCATGCCTTTCCAACTGAAGCCAAACATTTGGGGAGGCTGCTGTTTTGCTTGGAATGTCCTGGAGAACTCCCAGCTTTTTCCCTGCGAGGCTGTAACTCATTCAGAGTTAAGGAATTTCAATTGTTGCTTCGGGAGGCACGAAGGATTTCCTTGGGTTTCATGGTTTTTATCTGGAATTATGGCCTTCGGGAGCAATTCCCTGGTTCTGCCAGGTCCTCAAACACCCAGCATTCCCACTAAATTCAATACAATAAGTTATCAGGGAAGTCTTCCACGTTTTTCCCAGCACCAAGATTTTACTCAGCTCTCCAGCAGGTCCTGAGGAATCCTGCTGAGTCCCTGCAGCTGCTCCCACTGCTTCCAAAAAGAACGGAATGAGAACTTTTAGGGAAGGAAGATCAAGCCCTTTCCCCTTCCCTGCAAGAGAAATTCCCAACTTTAGAACATGAAAATTCCCAGTAATCTATCCCTGTGGATCTGTGGATTAAGTAGTTTTTGGCTATTAATAAATCCAGATTATTTTGCTGATTTTTCCAGGTTTGTATTTTCCGATTCCCAAATCCTCCTCGTTAAGGATACAGGGCTGATCCAAAAAAACAGGATAAACTGCCTCAGCAAACTGGCTGGGAAGAGGAACTGGAGCTGACTGGGAACTGCTTCCAGATTTGATCCTAAAACTTGTAAAACCATGGATTTCTCCCAGTGATATCCCAATTTTCTGGCTCCCACGGGGAATTTTTGGTACCCACCGACTGCGAGTCCTTTGTCCTTGTGCAGCAAAGGAACACTTTGAGCCTCCTTGTCCAGCTGCTAGCCTGGCCTTCCTCCAGTCGGTGTCTGGGAATAACAGGAAGGTCAATAACCATGGAGTCATGGAATTAAGGTTGGAGAAGACCTCTAGTCCAACTGTTCTCCCAGCACTGATCCACATCCCCAAGTGCCACATCCACAGGGATCCTAAATCCCTCCAGGGATGGCGACTCCACCTCTGACCTGGGCAGCCTGTTCCAACCCCTTCCAGGAAGGAATTTTCCCTAAATCCAACCTAAACATCCCCTGGTGCCTCTTGACACCATTTCCTCTCCTCTTGTTCCCGATCCTCCCCCCGTCAGGGAGTTGTATGGAATGGGAAGGTCCCCCTTGAGCCTCCTGTTCCCCAGATTGAGCCTCCCCAGCTCCCTCAGCTGCTCCTGCTGCTCCAACCCCTTCCCTGGACACACTCCAGGAAGTGGAATCCAGCTGTTCTGGCTCACAAGGGATTTTAAGGATCATCATGTTCCACCTTCCACTAGCCCAGGTTGCTCCAAGCCCCACCCAACCTGGCCTTGGACACTTCCAGGGATGGGGCAGCCACAGCTGCTCTGGAATGGTTTTCCCACCCTCACAGGGAAGAATTTCTTCCCCATCCTCCCCCTAAACCCACCCTCCTTCAGCTGATGGCCACTGATTCCACGCTCCCTGAAATCCAAGGCTCCTCTAAAGCAGGGTCTTTTTTTATGGAAACACAGATTGAATCCAGGTCAGAGCAATCCAAAATAAAACCCCACTCCATTTTCTGCCAGGGGATCCCACTGGGATAAACCCAAACCCAGAAAGTGTGTTGTGCCTGGAAGAAAAAGGTGCTGGGAAAGGAATATTTGCCTGGAAGAGAAGGAGCAGGTCTCACAGGGAATGCATCAGCTCCTGCCTGCATACCTAGAACCTTTTGAAAGATTCCAAAGGAGCAGTGGGAATACGAGTGGGCTAAGAGCCAGCAGAGCTCTGCTCTCCAAGATCCCAAAAGAATTCCACAATCTCACTGCAGGGCTTGAACAACCAAATGTGCTCCGAGCTATTTTCCCTCCAAAATTCCCAAATCATTTTTTCCCAACGCTTCACTTCCACATGTTCAGTAGGAGCTCCGAAGCTCCTTGGAAAAGCCTCAGCACGAGGAGTTGAGCCTTTGGTTGGGTTGTTTTACTTCCTCAGCCCACACAACCCGAAGGGAATGGAAAACCACCCTGGCACAGAATCCAGCCAGGCACAGAATTCCCCAATCTGCTCCAGGGAAACCCATTCCAGAGCCTCACACCCTCCCAGGGAAGTCCTTTTCCCTATGCATGGAGCAAAACACGGATACAGTACTAGAGCCACAATATCATCCCAGCTGCTCATCCTGATCCTCCTGGGAATGCCCTGATCCCAAGCAAGAATCACCACAAGGGGCTGGCAGGGCATTAATTCCACATATTCCACATACTGGAAAGGTCAGGAGGAATATCCAGCATTCCACAACAAAACCCAGCCTCCTTCCAATAAAACTTGATGTCTGATCCTTAGAAAAGACCAGTCTTCCTTCCCAAAGGATGCCATTTCAGGCCACTGGAAAAGCCCAGGTTTCAAAACACACAAAGCCAAGGAAAAACACGGAATTTGCAGGGGACTGTTGAGAAGCCTCATGGGAGGTAGGGACTCCAAGGGCACATTCCTCAAGGACAGGCACAGATGTGAAAGGGAAAAAAGCCTGTTTGTGTTGTCTCCTATTGGAAAAAAAATCCTTAGGAAAATGCTTGGCTGGGTGGAAAAAAAACCCCTTTCTCTTTCCATCTGGGAAGCTCCAGGATGGACTCAATCCTTAATTAAAAGATCCCAGTGCCAACACAACAAGAATTGTTTCCTGGTCAAGAAACCTCAGGGCAAAAGGTTGGATTTTGGAGACAATAAAGGAAGAAAAGGGGATTTAGAAGGAGATGCTGCCATATTTCAGGAAAATTTCAGCACTGCCTTAATGAATCCAAGGAAAACACTGCTCCAGGATGGGCAAATGAGGATTTGCTCAGCCTGGAGAAGGGAAGGCTCAAGGCAAACTTTAGAGCCTCTTCCAGGGCCTAAAGGGACTCCAAGAAAGCTGAAAAAGGAGTCTGGAAAAGGACCTGGAGTGACTGGACAAGGGGGAACAGCTTCCCACTGCCAGAGGGCTGGGATAGATGGGATATTGGGAAGGAATTCTCTGTGAGGGTGGAGAGGTCCTGGAATGGATTTTCCAGGGAAGCTGCGGCTGCCCCATCCCTGGAAGTGTTCCAGGATGGGGTTTGGAGCGACCTGGACTAGTGGAAAATATCCCAGCCCATGGCAGGGGATGGAATGAGATGTTCCATAAGGTCCCTTCCAACCCAAACCATTCCAGCATTCCATGATGATTCCACGATCTCTCCCTGCATTAATTTTGCATTGTTTCCTCTCACCCTTAAATTCCCACAATGGGATGATTTGTTGAAGGAATCATCTTAAAACCATTCCAGGCATGGAAAGGGGAGTGTAAAGCACATAAGAATCATTCCCACATCCATCCAATCCTTATGAACCTGGAGTCTATTCCCTCCCCCCCACCTTTTCCTTCCCTGGAAAGCCCCGTGACCCCCCAGTTTCTAAGGCAGATCCTCTGGGATTTGGTAGCAGGTTTGCTCTGTGCGAGCCAAGGAGCAGAACTGACGTGCCCCATCCCAGCCAAGCAAAGCTCCTGGATTCCCTGGAATGCCGCCTCACCTGAGGTTGTAGGTGCGCAGGTTGCGCTGCCGGCGCTTCGTGGCCCGCAGTTTGACAAAGGTCCTGCCCGTGGGGTCGAAGACGCAGAGCACAGTGATGCACACACTCAGGATCACCACCCAGTTACACACCACCATTCCTGAAAAAAAAAAAAAAAAAAAAAAAAGGAATCATGTGCTCCAGCCCCATCCCAGACCCACCCAAAGGAAACCCTCCAGAACAGCTTCCAAAGTGCAGATGGCGGAGTTTTCCTGGCTGTTTGTAGGGTTATTGAACACCCCCCAGAACATCCAGGGCTACACCATGAACATGTTTCTACCAGGAAGTGGGAAAAGAGTTCCAGGGGAACAGTGAAGCCATTTTGAAGTGGAAAAGCAGGATTTCCAGGCTCCCCCCTTCCCACCCTTTCCCCAGGAACATGAATCCCTGTCTCAGTGCCAGTGGCACAAACAAATGGAACGGGGAAACAAAGAGTGCATTGACAGCTCCAATCCATTTCCAGGAGTCCAGCCCAAGCCGGCGGGAGGGAATGGCGGCCATGGATCCACCGGAATGCAGCCTGACATTCCCAATCCGTACCCAGAGTGACGCTCTTGGCCGTGATGTCGTTGCAGGAGGTGTAGTACTGGGTCAGCCATACGATTCCCACAATGGCATAGACGAACTCAATCACCAGGATAGCTGGGAAAAGAGGGAATACCACGGATAACAGTAGCGTTTCCCTAAGGATTGACTCCTGCCCCTGTTTCCAGCAAGGAAACACAGGAACGAGTTACTTGGTCTGGAAGGAAAACGCTTTGGAAAGGGATATTCAAGGAAATAAAGCAAAAATGTGACTGTTTCCCGCCCCCCAATAAAAAAAAAAAAATCGGGATCACAGAGAGGTCAGTGCCCTTGGTTGTGTCAGGGTGTGAATCACAGATCCGCATTCCACCCACGCTGCTGGAAAGGCTCCCTGAGGCACCAGGAATTGCAGGATCCAGGACTGAACCACCTCAGACAGCTGGCCTGGCTCCCAGATCCCAAAGAAATTCTGTGTGGTCAGGATTTCTACGCTTAGGAAACATTCCCAGCACCTCTGCACCCTTCCAGGAACAGTTCCCAGGACACATTCCTTCAGGAATCACTTACTGGCTCCTCGGTTTTACTGTGACAAAGAACACGAGACTGGGGATTAACAGCGGTTTTCCTGGAATAAAAAAGTTGGGAAACTGCTCCCAAGTGCCCGTCCTCCCGCTTCCCAGAATCCCAAAGAACAAGTGGGCAATCAGGCATGGCGCAGGTAAATAACTTGCTTGGGAATGGCTTGGGATGGAGCCGAGACTAAATCCAGCCTGGCCTAATCCCACCCACTCTCCTCATCCATAAGGATCTTTCCATAAGTGGTTTTACCACAGACCTGGAAAAACCATTTCCAAGAGTTTTCCTGGGCAGGGACCCGAGGTTGGAACCAGCTCCTGCTCATCTCAGTTTGCGCCTTAAACTGAGTCAGGCTTTGCTAAGCTTGGCTTGTCTCCCCTCTGACAACACCTGCTGCAGGACAGGAGCAGGGAGCAGACATTCCCAGGTTCCCATGGGAGTTAATTCCCTAAATTCCTCTGCATTAACTGGCACAGGCTTAAACTGGGACAGTCACATAGACCTTGCCCACGCATCGGTCACATTCCCACTTCAATCAGCAGTGCTGATGAAGCACCAGGAGTCAAAAGCTCCGGGAAACAGGGACACAAACACAGTCCAGCACAAATCCTGGTCCGGAACCCACCGGGAGTTTAAGGAAGAACAGGGGACATTCCCTGGGGCAGGAAAAACATCTCCTTGGATTTTCCCCACCTCCCTTGCCCTGTTTAGTGCGGGTTTAACCCCAACTTCCAGTTCTCCCTGCTTCCCAAGGGAAGGCTGGAAGGAGGGACGTTCGTTCGCTGTTCACATTAACCATTTGCAGGGAGGCAAAAACCTCTCCCAGACAGAGCTTCCAAGCCAGGTTATCCCTGGTTTTTAGTGGATTCTGCAGGAAAACAACCCAGCAAAAAGCAGGGATGCAAAGCCACGAGATGCTTTGTTTGGATCTGCATTTCCAGAAGGTTTTTCCCTTAAAACCTTCCCTGGGCACAGCAAAATCTGATTAAATTCCTGTGGCTGGGAAGTGAGAGAAAATAGGGAAAATGAGTCCTGGATGAGGAATCAAGGAATGATCTCTTCCTGGTCTAGTTGTTTTTGGATGAGGGAGACAGGGAATGTTTTTCGGGAGAGGAATGCTCATTTTTAGGGAGAGAAATATGGGACTGGGATTGAGGAAAATTCGGAGGGTTTAGGGGGTTGGGGGGGGGATTTTGGGGTTTTGTGGAATTTGGAGCACTTTGGGGAGCTTGGGTTTTTGGGGCATTTGGGTGTTTTGGAGCCTTTTAGGGATTTGGGGGAGTTTGGGACATTTTGGGGAATTTGGGGCACTTTGGGAGGGTTTTGGGGGTCCCCCAACACCTCGGGGGAATTTGGGGCTGAAAATGAGCTTTCTTTGGGCTTTGGAGGGGATTTTTGTGTCTTTCAGGAGACTACGGATTTTTGGGGAGGTATTTTGGGGAGGAATTTTGCAGGTGTTTGGGGTCACAGAGATGCCGATTTGCGGGGGGGCGGAGGGGGAAGTGCTTGATTTGGCCTTTCTGGGGGGATTTGATGACTTTTGGGGGGAGGAATTTTGTGGGTGACCCCCAAAACCCCCTCCAAAGAACACCGACGGGGAGGGGCGAGAAAGTGCGTTGCTGGCGTGGCCCGCAGCAAGGTGGGGGAATATCGGGAGCGGTGCCCGGTGGCAGTGCTAGGGAGCAGCCTCTGGAGTTCTGGGACAGGGAGGGCATTCCAGGGGGCCCAGGGAAGGGTGGGATGTGGGCAGGGGGCTCACCCAGGCGGACGTAGAGCACGTACTGCATGGAGTCGCGCGGTTCGGTGTACAGGATGCTGCCACGCATGCTGAGCCAGATGATGGCCAGCTCGGCGATCATGCAGCTCAGCAGGATGCCCAGGTAGCCCCGGCCGTGGTCCACCAAGTTCAGGGAGCAAGTCTCATTGGGGTTGTACACCAGCCCGAAGAGCACCACGGACAGGATCACGAACCTGCCGGGGAAAAAGCGCCGGGAATGCTGCAAAGCTGCTCGGGGCCCCATGAGGGCTCAGCCTTCTGTTGGTTCCCCCTCAATTCCCAGGGGCCAGTCGGGAGCTCTGCTCCCCCGGCACAGCAGTGGGATCTGCCTCCCATCATTTGCCACTCCCATTCTTGCCCAGAGAAGCTATGGCTGCCCCACCCCTGGAAACGTCCAAGGCCAGGTTGGAGCAACCTGGGATAGTGGAAGGTATCCCTGCCTACGGCATACTTGGAACTGGTCCCTTCCAACCCAAAGCACTCCTGGATTCCATGATTGTTTTTCCTGAACCCCTGTACAGAAACCCAACCCTAAGTTCCAATAGACCCATCCCTAGAAGTGTCCAAGGCCAGGTGGGATGGGCCTTGGAGCAATCTGGGCTAGTGGAAGGTGTTGGAGTTGGAACTGGATGAAGTTTAAGGTCCCTTCAAACCCAACCCATTCCAGGATTCCATGACTGTTATTCCTGAGCCCCTGGACAGAAACTCAGCCCCAAATTCCCATGGGCAACCTCGGTTGGCACGGGAGGATACAGGGAGCTCTGGCTAGGCTCTCTGGGACTAGGACAGAACTTGGGACAGAGCTCAGCTAAAACAACCAGGAGCTGGAACCTCTTGGTGTCCCTCAGAAATGCCCCAACAGAATCTTCCAGGTGCACAGGAAGAATTTCCAGCCACGACAGGAACAGGCAAAAGAATCCCTGGGAGGATTCCAAGCCTCCCTGTGCCCTTCCCACTTACCAGGTGGTATGCAGGAGGAAGAGGAAGACGGCTGGCAGAACCAGGTCATCGCTGCCCACGGACCAGCGACGGCGGAACACAACAATCCCTGGCATGGCTGGCGGGTCCTGGGAAGTTCAGCAGGCGTGACACTCACCTCCTGGAAAAGAATGGAAAAGAAGGATGCTGACCCCCTTCATCCCCCTCTGGAGAGCCCCACAACCTGCAGGGGTGCAGCCAGGAGTTACCCTGGGTTTTATTCCAGCACCTCTCTCTCAGGGAGAGCCAGGAGAAGAAGGAATTTGCAGAGTGGGAATGATGAGGCGAAGCCAGTAACTCATCCAGTTCCAGTTTATGGGATTACCTGGAATCCTGTTAGGGTCAAGCCAAACCACTCCAGGATTCCATGGTTGTTTTTCCTGAGCCTCTGTACGGAAACACAGCCCCAAATTCCAATAGACCCATCCCTGGAAAAGCTCAGGGCCAGGTGGGACAGGGCTTGGAGCAACCTGGGCTAGTGGGATTTTGGACAGGTTATTCTGGCTTCAGAAACCCTACTGCTGTGTTTTTTCAAGGACACACCTGCTGCCAGGCTCCTGTGGGCCAATAATTCCTCCCATCACTTAGCTCAGGAAGCCAAAATATCCATTAGGAGTCAGTGGAAGCATCTGAGGAATACTGCCCAGCTCCCAGCAGCACTTCCAGTTGGGAATATCAGTTCCTAGGATCTCTCTCCCTGGGCCACTAGGAGTATCCTGCCAGCTCCACATCTTTGCACTCCAAATCCAAGGTGGGGGAAGATCCAGGAGCTGCTGTTCCTTGCCCATGTTTTGTTTGTGCTCCTATTTTTAGAGCCTCACAAACCCTTTGGAAAAATAGAAACAGGAGCGCTGGAAAGTCACGAGACGGCACCGGGCGCTCCAGCCACCTCCTCCAGCACAGCCATCCCACACCATACCAGCTGGAAGCGCTCCAGCCTGCTCCACAGGGACTCCTGCAGCACAGCTTAGCCTTCTCCTGCTTTTCTGGCCCGGCACACGACCCACAGCCAGGAATTTTCCCTGCTTTTGCCAAATCTGGGATAGTGTCTCTGCAATCTGTTCAAAGGCACTGTGGTTTCCTGGCTGTGGAATCAGTCCTGTCCCTCTCTCCGCTCCCTCATCTGTGTCCCTCTCTCCGCTCCCTCATCCGTGTCCCACCTTCCACTTGTCCCCTTCCTGTGCTTCCAGGGATCATCACACTTTGGCTGTGCTCCAAACTCTCCCAAATTGATATATCCCCATTCCAAATCCCAGCTCTGCTCCTTTTCCAACCCTCTTTTTTCCCATACCCCGCTCCCGGAGTGCTCCAGCCATGCCCTGCAGTGCCCAGGCTGCTCCAAAGTTGTACTTTCAAATGAGTAACTGCTCTTGGATATCCAGAATGGATGGGGAGGGAGCTCAAAGATGACCCAGGTCCACCTCTCTGCCATGGATAGGGACAGACCATGGCACCAATTCCCACTTTGCCCCACTAAACCCAACCCAGTCAGCGGGTGTGGTTACCCCCCCACTTCCCAGAACATCCCAAATCCAGAGTCTCCCGCCCTTTGTGGACACCACAGTCCCTGGAGTGGACCTTCCAACCTGCTGCAACCAGCAGTGACTGGAAACCTCCCCAGATCCCAGGAGATTCTACAGCTCTGGACACTTCCAGCCCTTGCATGAGGGAAACGCTCTACTCCCCCAACAAAGCAAAGGTGAAATTCCAACACCTCTTGGATTCACAATTCCTTAGCACAGAATAACCAGCACATTCCAGTTCTACCTTCAAACTGCCCCTCTGGAGACTCCTTCCTGGATATCCACTGGGATATCTTGGATATTGCAAACCCTGGATACACTTCATCTCTCTCCCTGCCTTTGAACAGCACCTCCCAGTCCAGCTCAGACCCCATTCCCATCATCCCTCGGCTGAATCCTGCTTTCCATGACTCCAGTTGTGCTGTCTCAGCTTCCACCACCCTCTCCCAGCTGGAGAACCAGGATATCAACAACGGCAACAAACATCCAATGGGAATTCCTCATTCACAGCAGCGGATGGGGATGGAGTGGAGCAGCCTGTCACTCACTGGGATACTCCCTGTGGGAATGTCACTGCACTCTGGAGTGACACTACAAAGCTCCCAGTGCACTGCAGGAACATCCCCAATTGATTCCCAAAAGACTCTCAAATTTAAAGACTGAGCTTTGGGGCCTTGGAAAGGAGGGAGATGATGGAAGGCCCAAGACCAAAACCCTCCAAGAAAAGCTCTCAGTGGGAGGAATCTCCAGCTTCATCCCAGCGTTGCTGATCCTGAGAATTACACTGAGACACTAGTGATGTGATGGAGCAGAGGATTCGGGATGGAAAGGGAAAGTCAGAGTGCAAACAGCCCCAAGCAAAAACCCCCACCTTGCTCCTAAGAAGAGCAATTCTCAGGATCTCAAATCCTAGCACGAGCAGCCCCCAAGCTCCCAGCACTGAAATCAGGGAAGCACATGACCCAGGAATTCCCTCGGAGCAGGGAATGATCTATGGAAGCAGAAATCTTACATGGTATGTGGTCCAGCCGCTGAGCATCCTCCTCTCCCGGCAGGGTTTCCCAGGAAAAGTGCAATTCCACGGAGACAGGCATCACAAGCTCAGGAAGGAACAACCAACTCTTCGTGCAGCCATGGAAAATCCCACTCGGCAAAGGGAAGGACGGTGTGGGAATCGCCTGCCGACAGAGTCGGGCATCATCCTCAGAGCGGTTCCCTCATTTATTCCGGGGAATGCCGAGAGCCAGGGGTCGTGACTCCCCCACAGTTCCACACCCCCAGCACCCTCTGGAAGGAAGTGACATCATCCCTATTCTGAGGAGATTGTGTGTGGATTGTGGGAAGGAGGATTGGGAGCAATGCTGTCAGGGATGCGGAGACGGAAGAGCAGGAGAAGCCGTCAGAGCTCCAGCGGCACAAACCTCCTCCCTCTTCCCACCGAGAAACTGAGAATGCTGCCTGGAGCTCTGGGATGGCATCAGGCCTCGCAGGGAAAGGCCATGGAGGCTCCAGGGAAAGGTCAGGGGGAGGGGACTTGGATGGGACACAAAGGGACACACAGAGGGGCCACCCGGGCACAGAAAGGAGACTGTTCCAGAGGAGCCTTCCCAGCCTTTCCAGCCGTTAATTCCTTGTGACACGCTCTGGGCTGTGACAGGATGTGGGGGAAGGGGAGAATTGTCTGCCTGGAGGGAAAGGCTCAGGGAAAAGAACACGGGAGAAAAAGGTTCCAGCAAGACAACATTCTGGATTTGCCTAATCCCCCATCCCACCTGAAAGGAGCTTTGGGAGGAGGTGCCCGGGGAAAAGCTGATGGAAAAGGGCTGTGCCTGGATCCTGCACGGCAGGAGTCCACCCACGGCATGGCAGCACCCCCGGAGTCACCCACTCCCACCACCCAAATCCACGAGCAGGATTTGCTGGAAGCTCCCAGATCACCCACATTCCCGAGGTACAGCAGTACCCACACAGCCCAGAGCTCCCACTCCTGCAGATCCCATCCCTGCATCCCCAACCCCTGCAAATCCTGCAAATCCCCATCCCTGTGTCCCCAACCCCTGCAAATCCCCATCCCTGCGTCCCCAACCCCTGCAAATCCCCACTCCTGGATCCACAACTCCTTGCAAATCCCCACCCCTGGATCCAGAGGGTCACAACTTCCTGTAAATCCCTGTCCCTACAAATCCCCACCCCTGGATACAGTCACATCCCCCCTGCAAATCCCCATCCCTGCACCCACATAATCCCCAGCAGATCCCCATTCCTGGATCCACAGGGTCACAGCTCCCAGCAGATCCCCATTCCTGGATCCACAGGGTCACAGCTCCCAGCAGATCTCCATTCCTGGATCCACAGGGTCTCAGCTCCCTGCAGATTCCCATCCCTGCTTCCACATTCTCAGCATTCCCACCCAATGGATTCCCAACCTCCTGCAATTCAGAGCAAAAGCTGGGAGGCCCAAACCACAATGAAACAGGATCTGCCAGGAGTTTTCCCCCTTCTGACGGATCCCTGGCGACGTCTGCATGGAGCAAGCCCTGCTATCCCAATATTCATTCCCTACCTTTCCCCTCAGGCACCTCCTGGCACCTTCACACAATCCAGGTCTGCCAAAGCAATCCCACCTCATCCTTGCCAGCGCGCTCTCCCCAAATTCCAGAGTTCAGAGAGATTCCCTCAAAACAAGCCACATCTTCATCTCCACTGCTTGGGGCTACAAAATTCCCAAAAGAAAGGGGGTTCCCAGGCCTCAATGGATGGCTGCAGGTGCCACTTCAGGACAAAGCCCTTTGCTGTTCCCAGGATTCCAGCACACGCTGAGCATCCTGGGATCCCTTTCCCTGGCTGAAATGCCACCTCTTTCCTTCCCACATGGAATAGGGGTGGGATCATCCCCCTGCAGCTCACAGAACCCTCCTGTTCCCACAAAACACTTACTGGACTTGCCGGAAATCATCAATTCCGCCTTGGATCTGACTCCATCGGGCCCCTTCCAGCTGTTCTGAAGAGCTTTAAATGAAGCTCTTTCTATTCCCAAGTTGATTCCACACAATCTGGGAATTGTTCTCACCTCGCAGGGAGAAGGGGGGGATGTGCTGACATCCACACAGGGTGTCCTAAAGCTGGCCTGAGGAATTTGCTGGGATGGCTGAGCCTGGAGAAGGCTCCAGGGAAAAGACCGGTCTAAAGGAGCTCCAAGAGAGCTGGAAAGGGACTTAGGAAAAGGGCCTGGAGAGATAAAAAATGGAGGAATGGCTTCCCACCACCAGAGGGTGGGTTAAACGGGATACTGGGAAGAAATCCTTCCCTGTGAGAGTGGGGAGGTGCTGGAACAGATTTCCCTGGGAAACTGTGGCTGCCCCATCCCTGGAAGTGTTCAAATCCAGGCTGGAGTAACCTGGGATAGTGGAAGGTGTTGGGGTTGGAACCAGATGGGTTTTAAGGTCCCTTCCCACCCAATCCATTCCAGCATTCCACGACAATCAGGTTGGGGGGACAAATTCCACGGCACCAAAGGAAGATGAACCCTTTCCTTTCAGGAAATAACCTGTTGGAAGCAGAGTCCGCAGGAATTGCAGGGAAAGCTCCTTCCCAAGGGGAAGCAGCTGCCGGAAGGCTGTGAGGAAAGTTGCGCCCTCGCTGTGATTTCAGGATCAGATCCCAACCTCAAGGAACATTCCACGGATCAATGCAACATTTAAGCGCCCTATTTATAAGCAAATCCCAGCACAGAGCAAAAATCAATGGGAATTTTAACTTTGGGAATATCTTTAAGACTCTCCTTGATAACCCCCCATTTTCCAAGGAGAAGGGAATGAAAGGAGCCTGTGGCAGAGCCGGGGCTCAGGGCTTCCAGGAGCCTCCCGGGGCTCGGCACAGTTCGGATGCAGTTCCCTAAAGATGAGGCAGCACCGTCACCTCCACAATGTCACCAGGACACAGTTAATGGGATTAGGCTAGATCTGGAACCGCCCACTGACACAAATTCCCAAAATACACCTCAGAGCAGAAACTGCCCTTCAAAAGCCAGGGAACAAGGACTCACCTGTTCATCCCACAGGTTTAACCCCCAAATCCTGGGGTAAATCCACCCTTGGAATTGCAACAGGGATGGACACGAGATTGGTATAACCAGGACAAAGCACTGCTAATCCCTAATATTCCTTCCATCCCAGCTAATCCCTAATATTCCTTCCCAAAGCCCCTTCGGAGCATAACCCCATCCAGGAGCACACTGTCCTTGCTTCAATCCATCACCGTTTTCCCCCTTTCCCCCAAGTCCTGCCTTGGGTGGGAACAGGTCTCCCAAATCCCACACTTCCTACAAGCACAGATACTTCCCACCTGTTACCCTGGGAATGATTTAACAAGGAGATACCAGAAAAATCCCTCTTTCTCCCTGGCATGCACTTGCTCACAGTGTGGAGTTTCCAGGAAAACCAGGATTACCTTGGAAATCCTAATGGATGGAAAAGTCCCACAAGCATCACTCACAGCACTTGTTCCCAGGTAAAAGCAGGATTCCCCAAATTAAGGAGAAATAAAGAAATCCTCGACTTTGGAATAGCCCTCCTCTAAAAAAATGGGACCAATCCAGAGCATGTTCCCAGGAATTGTATCCCTCAAACCAAGTGATCCCAAGGGTTCTCCCCACTGGATCTTTAGTGACACCCCAAAGGCCAGGATTTTTCCAGATCACAGAACCATTAAGGCTGGAAAAGCCCTTCAGGATCAAGTCCAGCCATTCCCAACACTTCCAAGTCTGCCACTAATCCACATCCCCAAGTGCCACTTCCACACAGATTTTAAATCCCTCCAGGAATGGGGACTCCCACCACTGGAGTGTTCCAATGCTTTCCAACCCTTTCCAGGAAGGAATTTTCCCTAATATCCAATTTAAACTTTCCCTGGAATGTCCTGAGGCCGTTCTCTCTCATCCTGTCCTTTGTTCCCTGGGAGCATAGCTTGATCCCACCAGGACCCAACATCCAGGCAGGGACTCATGGAGAGCAAAAAGCTCCCCCCAATCCTCCCTTTTTCCAGGATAAGCCCTCCCAGCTCCCTCAGCCGCTCCTGGTGCTCCAAACCCTTTCCTGGACACCACCACGTCCTTCTTGTACCAAAGACCCAACAAGGTTTATTAATTCCAGACCTTCCCAACCATCCAAAGAAGAGGTTTTTAGGGATAACTCCTAAAGGCAGGGAGACATTCCAACTGTCCAAATTAAGTGCTTGGAGAGGGATGAACCCTGCCCTCCCCCCCCCCCCAGCTCCAAGATTCCTGATATTTTTCTCCCTGACCTCAGCCAGAGGACAATTCACCTCCAGAGTTCCACACCTGTCACCCTCTGGAAAACCCAAAGCCTTCAGGAATAACAAGTCGAGAAACACCACTAGCTGATTCCTGGGAATCTGGGAGTGGAGAAGGAGTGCGATCCAAGGCTGCTGAGAACTCCGGGAGTTAAACCCATCCCCCAGTCCTTGTGCCGGTGCCGCAGCCACCCACATTCCCTGCCGGCACAGCCCACAAAAGCAGCTTCCCGACACTCCCGAGCTCCAGCAAAAATAACGGCCAAGTTGCCAGGGGGGAAAAAAGGGGATGGAATCCAAACTAATTTGGTGTTTGAAAGAGAACTTGGTGTTCCAGAGGGGGATAAAATCCACTCCCAAGGAAAGCTCGGCTGGAGCAGGGCTGGGAATGGGATGTTGGGATGAGGTGACGGACACTGGAAACACCATCTGCTATAAGAGATGGGCAGCTGAGCATCCCAGACCTGCTTCCCAGTGTAATTCTTTCTGGATATAATTATCAGGAATGAAAATCCTTGGTTTCCTTAATTCCTGGTTGTTCATCACACAATTGTTAGTTTTTCCATAGCAAAAATTCCCAGGGGTGAGTGAAGACAGCGAGGGCAGATCCAAGCAGGACGCGGTGCTTGCCGACAGAACATTTTAGATGGAGCCTCATTCCTTTAGGAAAAGCTATTTTTGCCTACAATCCTGACAGCTTTCCACCCTGGAATTCTTACCAGCTCAAAAAAAAAAAAAAAAAGGCAAGGAACAAATAAAGTCAGGTGGATATTTCAAGGTGCACTATTTAACTGAGTGGTGTCCCCTTGCGCCGGCTCATCCGGAAGCGATGCCTTTGGGAAGCAAGAGGACAAGCTGTGTCATTCCAAAAGAATTCCCACTAGGAACTGCCTCTCTATCCTACTTCAGGCGGCTCCTTGGCTCCCGAGTTTACAGCAGCGGGCAAGCAGTTTTCCCAATAACTTGACTCATTGCCTCAGGAATTCCCTGGGGATGAGTCACATGCCAGGAAAGCCCCCGGGACCCACCGCTGCCAACACAGGGAGAGTGAAGGAAGTGGGAGAGCAGGGAAATCCCTGCCGAAAGCAGGAAAACTGGGTGGTCAGTACCCTTCCCGGGCACTCCTTCTCGCC